CAACATGAGACTCCATCTACCATGTCCTTCATCATCCTTCACTGCCCAAATACTACCTCAAAGCAAAATCCATCTTTTTGGAACCTGATATGACCATTTTTTACAAAATCTAAGCCTCTTCAAGGATCATCTTTCCCGAGCAATCAACATTAGAAACACTGATTTGATCCCAAAATCGCTATACCCCACTATCTCTAACAACCGCTTCTTAGGCACCATTTCGCAACACTTTGGACCGTAGGCAAATCAAACAGGCCATAACACTGACAAACCATAATACATTCAAACAAGGACAACGACACAATATCACATATGATAATTCCACCACGCTCGAAAATACCACATCTCGTCATTTCATAAACCAAGGCCTCAACATCCATAATCTAATTTCATTTCCTCTGTCGGAACTAAATGCTGAAGCTCTAAGCCGTAATATGAGAAATCCTTCTTTCAAATCATTAACTGTTGCAATCCATAAATAAGCAACGTACAATTACACCAACACTGTGTGATAACAATGTACAAATCATCATAACAATCAGTGCCCAACTTCAAAATCAAAGGCAATACTGATACTGAGCCGGAACAACAAAATATCCTTCTGCAAGGCGACCATAATAGCCCAATCAAATATGCAGGGAGAAACATCCTGCACCACATCTACAGTACCATTACAATTCCTCAATTCCGAATTGATAACCAGCATTGAACATCGTATAAGAATATGTATGAAGGAAACAAAGGCATAAGTCTCAAAGGAATCAAATCGCACGATGAGGAATCAAGAAGGGAAGTGCTCCTAATAGCCTTATAGCCTCTCAAAGATAAGTACAAAGGTCTCCGCAGGACTCTACTAGACTTGCTCATGACTCGTGAGACCTAAGTGAACCTAACGCTCTAATACCAAGCTATCACAACCCAACATCCACTATTGGTCGTGATGATGCGTAATGCCGTTGTCTGAAAAGCCAACATTGCTTTATCAAATTAATTACTCATTTTATTAATTTTGAAAACATAATTTCCATTAAATAAATAATATGAAATTAAATTTATAGGGTAATGTGATAATAAATGCGCAATTACAAAAACGAACAACCTGTAGGAACACCCACAACCCGGTGTCACAAATGCATGGCCATCTATTAATAAGTACAAGATCCATCGGAAATACAAGTTAGACGGAGAATATAAATAATTATGATGGAGACCCTATGTGTTGCAGATCGTAGCAAGGGAGTGCAGCTCACCGTAAATCCCTACAACGGTTGTGCCTCTGCACCTAGAGGACAACCAGAAACATATAACTACATGCACAATACATGCAGTATGAGTACATCAACGCATACCTAATAAGTATCTAGCCTAACCCCGGAGGAGTAGTGACGAGAGACTGACATCGACACTTACTAGAGGTCCTGATAAATGACATGATAATTCATAATAGATATGAAGTGCATAACAATGGTGGATTAATATGAAATTTCATAATTTTTCCAATTTCTTCTATTAAAGCATAAATTCCTCGAACTTTTATTCTACCTTAATAGTTTAGAAAAATGACAAGTGTCATTATCACATAAATAAGAAATACCATAAAAATTTTCGAGCATCAATGAAAGGTTTATCTCGTAAATATTCGGAGTACTAGCGACATAATGCATGATTCTGTTGAGGTCGTTCGGTCTGATCCAGAGTGGTGTGTACATTGTCGAAGGTCAAATGGCAAGAACCAAAGATCCACCTCTATATACTGCCGAGGCGTTCAGCCCGCTCCACAAGAAAGGAAGGAAATTATCCCATTTCGAGTGATACTATCGAGGCGTTTGGCCTGCTCCACAAGGGAGGAAGGAAGTTTCCGAATCACAAGATACATGCATACAATATAGTACATGAGCACAATAATAAGTATACCCCTTTACATTTATTGAATACCTTAGCAACAACTCAAGGTATTAAAGCTTGACCTGATACTTTCATTTCTAAATCAATTTCAGTTATAACTTTAATTAATTGAGACAGCAGAACAAGTTCAAATAATTCAATCATTATAGGATTAGGTCCTAAGTCTACCCAAACAAGGACGTGCTTTAGCTGTGTACAGAATCTTGTCAACTCGTACGTATGTAGCACCCACAACTAGTTGCACATAACAATAAATATCACCTAGGGGTAGTTTCCCCTTATAGGATTAGAAAAGAGACTTACCTCGCCCCAAAGTTCCTTAACCGGCTCTAATGCATCTCTAACAACTCAACTCCATGCCAAACGTTCCGAAATTAGACAAACAACGTGCAAATTAATAAGAATATACTCCAATGCTTACAATTTAATAATTTATAATGATTCCCAACTCCGCTCGAAAATCCAACAAAGACAACCCTTGGGCCCACGTGCCCTGATTTCGATTTTTTTTAAAGATAAACATTACCTATAATATTACTAACTCAAATATATAATTTATTCCCAATTCTATGCCCAAATTCGTGGTCAAAACTCAAAAATACCAATTTCTAGGTTTTCTTCAAATCTTACAATTCCTACCAATTTCCACGGTAGAATCTATATGAAAACCAAGTATTTAACTAACAATGTGAAGGAATCGCTTACCGTAATAGATGATGAAGATGGCACTCCAAAATCGGCTCTCATGGACGAAATAAAGTAGAATTGACCCAAATCCTTCGTTTTAAAAGAACGCTACCTAGCCCTACTACCGCACATGTGGCCGCTTCACCGCATCAGCGGTCTCGCAGGTGCGGCCAAAACCTTGCACTTGCGCATACCCTCTACTCAGCACAGCTCCGCACCAGGGATGCCAAACGCGCCCCTGTGGTCTCGCAAATGCAGAGACCTTCAGCTTCTGCGACTCCAGCTGCCCAGCTCGCATTCTGTTTCTTCAGAGCTTTCCTCGCATCTGCGGGCTTGCAGATGCGGAACATCCTCACATCTACGGCCATCCCAGCTCAGTCCAAATGTCGCTTATGCGACCACATCACCTCACATGCGGGTTCACGCCTTCGGGCTAGCACCTGCGACCATTTCCACGCAGGTGCGATTGTACCAGATATTAGCTGCCTCAGTAGTTCTTCCATGTCCAAACTTGATCCATTGATCATCCGGAATCCACCTGAGGCTCTCGGGATGTTAACCAAATATACCAACACGTCCCAAAATATGATACAAACCTAGACGAAACCTCAAACCATGTCAAACAACATCAAAAATACAAATTACGCATCGATTCAAGCATAATGACATGTTGAACTTCTAACTTCCATATCTGATGCCGAAACCAATCAAAATCACATCCGATTGACCTTAAATTTTGCAAAAAAGTCACATTCGACACTACGGGCCTACTCAAACTTTCGGAATCGGAATCCGAACCTAATATCAAAAGTCTAATCCAGGTAAAACTTTCCAAAAAAAAACATCTAACTTCCAACTTTCGCCAAATAGCCTCGAAATGACTTACGGACCTCTAGCTCCACTTCTGGATGCGCTCCTAAGACATGCATCACCATACAGAGCTATTCCCAAGCTTCGAATTCCAAATAGACATTCATAACATTAAAATACACTTCAACCCAATTTATGAAATTCTTCCAAAATTCCAACTTTTCACAATAACTACCGTAACGCTCCCGAATCATCCAAAACCCTATCGGGACATACGCCCACGCTCAAGATCACCATATAAACCTGTTGAAAACTTCAAATACAGATTTTGAGGTTGTTTACTCAAAAGTCAAATCCTAGTCAATTCTTCCAACCTAAATCTTCCGTAATTAGAGATTTCTTTCCAAATCGACTCCAAAATTCCCGAAATCCAATTTCGACCATATGTACAAGTCATAATACATTAAGTGAAGCTACTCAGGGTCTCAAATCATCGAACGACGCGCTAGAGCTCAAAATGACCGGTCGGATCATTACAGTCGTCGATAAGGCGAGGTCAATTAATGGCACCAATTTGATAATGGAGTCTTTTTTATTTTTAAAAAATGAAATATTTAAAAATGTGATATTTAAAAAAATAATGGTTTGGTAACACATAACAGTAGTAGGAACTAATACAAGTGAATTACGAATATATGTTCGGGTTACTAGTACATAGAGACATGAGTATATTTATAAAGCTCCAAAAAATTGTAGTGATTAGGGGCCAACTGCTAGCTTGTTCCCTCTATTATAATATTGTTACATTATTCTATTTAAATTTATATCGATATTATATTAAAAACATAAAGTCCCTTGCCAAAAGGTTCTTCATATTTTTAACATTCATAACTGCATTTTAAGTTCCATAAAATTGTAAATATAACTAAAGTTTATTTTTACAAAACCCAAAATAGTCGTATGACAAAAAAGAAATAAAAGAAGAGAACAAGTGGGAATTCCTTAAATTTATATCCCTAACAAACAATGATTCCGGCTGGCTTAAATGGAGTAAAATAATATAGTAAACTTATTATTTAATATCAGTATTAAAGTTAAGTCAAAATTGCGTTGGCTCAAAAGGAAAAAAAGAAAGAAGTGAGAATAAGTAAGAATTTCTATTCAATATCCTTATTAAAGAGCATTAAAGAGGCCGTCAATCTGCATTATTTTGCTTTGTTATTCACACATGAGCCATAAAGAAAGTTGCCTAAGCATTAAGTCATTTTCACCCTTTATGAATTTGAAAAAGAATTGGATACAGGAAGGCCATGTGCTTTGTTTTTCTTGGTGTCAATATAGGAATGGGAAACAGTTTGAATGAATATCGTTTTTCTTTGTTGAATAGTTGAGGATAACTCCTAGTTATTATTGTAGGGGATATTGATATCTATTTAGTTTGTTTTTATTCTTTTGTAGTATTTATTTTTAGTTGGTTAGTTAGTTAGGATACAGCTGGCAGCAGTAAATGGTCAAGGTGTGCAGTTGTCACCCTCTCTGCCTGTATATATGTTACGGTACATATTCAATACAATTGAGCTACATTATTCATCAAAGCATTCTTCTTATACTTTCGTCTTCTTCCTCTCTCTCTCTCTCAAACACACATACACATGGACTCTTTAAAAGCTTTCAGATTCAACCATTGGTGCTGAGGTTGAGCTACGCTACGCTAGTCTCAGTCACAATCTTATCATGGTATCACAGCAAGGTTAATTATTCTCGTCTCTTGTCAATCTTTTCCTAATCCTATTTTCTCTTTTCTCTTTTTTGGTTTGTTGACCTAATTTGATTGATTTGCTCCAATTCGATCAATTCTTCTTATGTCAGTAATCTACTCCATAGAACTCTAAAAGTTTTGGTTTTGATTACTTTTCTCCTATGAACAATCAATTAATTTTACGTCCTAATGGATATTACCTACCAACAAGATATGACTAATGCTAGTACGAGTGTCGCCGTGCCTCCGACCACGGGAATCTACCAAAGTGATCCCCTATATATGCATTCATTCGACAATCCTGGTGCAATGCTTGTATCTGTTGCATTCGATGGGATAAGGTATAGATCCTGCAGACGTAGTGTTCTTCGTGGCTAATCCGTAAAGAATAAATTAGGTTTTGTGAATGGTGAATGCAAGAAGCTAAATCTCCAACCACCAACCTATCGGCAGTGGGGATAATGTGATAACATGGTCAGTTCATGGATTTTGAATTCTCTTTCCAAAAAATTGTGGATAGTGTGGAATATGCGAGTGATGTTGTTGAGTCGTGGAAGTATCTGGAGGATCGCTATGAACAAACCAATGGAGCTAAATTAATCAATAATCTCTCCTAACGAGCCCTTGACATCACTAGCTATTACACTTAGCTGAAAAAGCTATGGGAAGAGCTGAATACTCTGAACAAGAGGACTAAATGTAGCTGCCTTTATAATTGTGGCGCAAAGGAAATCATGTACAAAGCTGAACAAGATAGGAGGTTGATACAATTTCTTATGGGACTCAATGAAGTTTACACTATAGTTTGAGGGAGTATTCTTATGATGAATCCACTTCCTATGTTGGCTCAAGCCTTCTCCTTACTTATCCAGAATGAAAAGCAAAGAGAAATAAAGAAAAATAATCAGTTGTTGATTGAGTCCACCTTATTGAATGTGAAAAATTCAGGACCAAGTCCTTTTAGAACAAAATTCTCACCAAGTTACAATTATTCTTGGAGTAACAGAGGTCATCCTATCTGTGATTTTAATAAGAGGCCAGGCCATACTAGGGATAAGTGTTATAAGCTACACGGTTATCCACAAAATGGATAGAATTCTAATGAAAATGCACGATATCCTCAAAATGTCTAGAACTCTAATCAAAACTTCAGACACAATAGAGGGAAGATGATGGTAGCAAATGTACAAGGGATGTCATTTGATGCAATGACAAGCAAGCTTGAAGAGTGTGATGCCCAAGATGAGAATCAGAATGTAAATCTAACTAAGGAACAGTATGTACAACTTCTTTATCTACTTCAGCATCTTCAACTTGGCAATGATGGAGAGAACTCAAACAACTCAAATCCTACCAATGTCGTAAACTTTGCAGGTATTGTTGTTTGCACATCTTCTATTAATTTTGGTAAACTCTCATGTAGGTGCTTTGAACCAAAGATTGAAACATGGATACTAGATTCAGGAGCCTCAAATCATATGGCCTTTAATAAGTCCTTATTGTCTGATATCAAAATCCTACATTATCCTCGTACTAGTTATTTTACCAAATGGTTATAAATAGAAGGTGACAGAAATTGAAAATGTAAAATTTGCTCCTATGATCACTCTGTATAAAGTACTTCACATTCCTTCCTCAAAATTCAATATTATTTTAATATTGGTTGATCAAACACCTGAGGGTTATAACTTCTTAGTTCTTTCACTAACAATACTTGTCTTCTGCAGGCCCCTTCTTTGAAGAGGCATTGGAGATTGGTAAATTCAAGGATGGATTATACCTACTGTGCTCTCAATGTCTGAGAAACAATTGTCTGGCTAACAACTCTATTATTTGTTCTTCTACTCATTCATGTTATGTAAATAGTCATCTTCTGAATAACATGCATTGTCATCCATCTCCATCTGTAAATAGGTCATCGTTGAGTCATTTGCAGAATCATCAATGTTCAATTGTAAATAATTCATCCTGAACAATAAGAGTCACTGTTCTGGTTTCAATTACTGCATGTTTCAAGTCAATGATGTTAATCTTCTGTGGCATTATAGGCTATTACATGTGCATTTTGTAAAAATAAGGGGAATTCCTCCATACCAGCTTCTCTTTCCCTTAAGCAACCCTTTGTTTGCTCCATTTGACTTATGGCTAGACAAGCCAGGCTCCCCTTTCCTCAAAGAGTCAGTACTTAAAATAAAATCTTTGAACTCTTGCAAGTGGATTTGTGGGGTCCTTACCATGAATATACACATGATAAATACAAATACTTCATTACTATGGTTGTTGACTTTAGTAGGTCCACTTGGAGGAACCTGCTAACATCTAAAAGCAATGCCCTCCAAACTATCAAAACTTTTATTTCCTTAGTTAAAAATCAATTCAAAACCTCCATCAAGGGGTCAAAATTTGATAATGGACATGAGTCTGTTAATACTGAAGCTACTCTATTTTGTCAATAAAAAGGGATTGTTCACCAAAAGACTTGCCCCTATACACCATAACAAAATGGAGTGGTTGAAAGAAAGCATAAATACTTTATTTAAATAGACAGAGACTTATTGTTTCAGTCTAAGTTGCCTTTGAAGTACTGGAGGAATGTATTCTAATAGGCACTTACATTATAAATAGATTACCTACCACCTATCTTAAGAACAAGTCTCCTTTTGAAGTCTTATAGAATAAAAGGCTAAATTACTCCCAGTTAAGAAGTTTGGATGCTTATGTTTCCCAATAATACCAAAAGTTCATAGAGATATGTTTGAACCAGGGACAACACCACATATTTTTGTAGGCTATCCTTTTGGCACAAGGGCTACAAAGTGTTGAATTTATCCACCAAGAAAATCCACATTTCCAGGGATGTAGTATTTCATGAGTCTATTTTCCCCTTAAATATCAGTTTTGAATCTTCCTTTTTCCTTTCAGCTCTTTATCCACTTCCTATTAGTCCCATGATTGATACTAATACAGTGTCATTTTAATAAGGTACTATGAGTGATCAAAGGAATGTAGGTAGTACATCTAATATAGTCTCACCTTCCTCTAACAGTTCCTCTCCTGATCCTCTACCTCCTTCACCTACACCAAATAATGTAGGCTCACCACCATCACATAATGCATATTTACCACACACCACTGATTCACCTCAAAACACAAAACACATGTATACTTGAAAGATTACATATATTCTATGCCTAGACCAACTCCTCATGAACATACAAACAAACATAACCATACTGATTTCTCCCTGAATGCCTCGTTCTCTAAACATCATCATATTACTGATAATACCTTGGTGTCACGACCCAAAAATCCCAACATGTCGTGATGGCGCCTAATGTGGTACTAGGCAAGCAGACATTTCAAAATAATTCTAACACTTTTAACAGCAAATGAGTTAAAGCAATTTTAAATAAATATAAGTTGTTATTGTAGAAAACCCAAAACACACATGGAAATTCCCAACATCGGGGTGTCACAGAGCACATGAGCATCTAAATTTCACAAGTCTGGGATATACTATCTATGATAGTTTGAAACTAAATACAGTGAGTGAAAAGAGAGGGAAGGAGAAACAAGGGTTGCGAACGCAAGACAGCTACCCCGAAATCTCCAAAAAATAGGATCAACAGCGTAGAGAATCAACACCCACCGTGTCCGAAAATAACTGTATCTGCACACGAAGTGCAGGGTGTAGCGTGAGCATAACCAACTCAGTAAATAACAAGACTAAATAAATAATTAGAAGTAGTGACGAGCTTCACAATTACAGTTCAATTACAGTGATTTCAACACAAGAAGGTAGGCATACTTTCAAGTTTGATAAATTAGGTCAAAATAGTTACTTCATGACAAGTTAAGTGAAATAGACTGTAATATCATTCAGAAATTTCAAGATAGCGGTACATGACAGCTAAGTGAAACAATAATGAAATCAAATGCATCCTCTTAAGGACAGAGTCACTCAGCCCTCCCATTCACTCAGCATTCCGCAGTCAGTACTCAGCACTCGCACTCAGTAGGTATCTGCGCTCACTACGGGTGTGTACAGACTCTAGAGGGGCTCCTTTAACCCAAGCACTATATCTAGCCAATCATGGCATAAATCAATGAAATATGTTGCAGCGTGCAGCTCGATCCCATAAATATATATATAGCCATAAGGCTCGTTGTGGCATGCAACCCGTTCCACATATATACATATATCACTCACAGTTCGGCACTCAAGCCCCAACTCATCCACGAACCTCTCCATTCTCTCGGGCTCTAAGAAATCATGGAAATCAACCCAAATAGAAATGACATAATATATTAACAAGGAACAAAAAAGACAGAGCTATGATATGCAAGTGAAACGGAGACTAAGTACAACAACAATTTAGTAGAATATTTAACATGTAACATAGACTCTGTGGGTCTCTACAGTACTAGCACAAAGTCTAAATATGATTTCTAACATTGTTTGCAAGTCATTTATTATAACACATGGAGAATATACGGATAACAACAGAATTTCAACTATACGATTACATGGAAGTTGACCAGGTCATAATTCCTATTGTGCACGCCCGTCACCTGGCATGCGCGTCTCTTTCAAACCAGACGCAATACACATAATACATGGTTTCATAACCTCAAAACAAGTTTTAGGATTGTCACTTACCTCAATCCAAGAAAATCGCTACCCCAACACACCTTTGCCTCACAAATAAGCCTCCAAATGACCCGAATTTAGCCACAAACAGTATGATATAATTAACACGGGCTAAAGTATACAATTCCATATGAAAATACTAAGTTATAAATCAAAAGTCAAAAATCGACTTAACGCCTGTCCGTGGGCCTACGTCTTGAAATCCCACAAAAGTTACAACACCCGAAAGCCCATTCAACCACGAGTCGAACCATACAAATTTTCCCAAAATCCGATATCAAAACGGCATGCAAATACCCAAATTAAACTCTCCAAATCCCTAGCCTCAAACACCCACATTTCACCTCAAAACTACATAATCTAGGTGGAATAATCAATGGGGAAACAAGATTATTGAATAAAAATGAGCACAAGTGACTTACCTCGAGAATCTCCTCAAAAACCCTCTCAAAGTAGCCTTAGACCGAGCTTGAAATGTCCAAAATGAAGAAAAATTGCAAACTCTTGAATTTATATGTTCTGCCCAATCTTTACGCTGCTGCGGATACTTAGCCACTTCGGCGGCACCGCTTTTGCGGTCCAACATCCTTATCTGTGGAAACCACTAAGCCGACCATCACTTTTCAGTCTAAACCCCTTTTCTGGGGGAGCATCTGCACACACGAAGCCGCTTCTGCGGACCAACTCACCAATCCTACTTCTGCTTCTATGCATCCCCAAGAGCAGGTGCGAGTCCGCACCCGCAGAAGTCTTTCATCATCTGCACTCCACAGTCCACCCATCTAAACTCCACTTCTATGCATCCCGGACTCGCACCCGTGACCAATGGTCCGTAGGTGTAATTGCACCAGAAAGCTTCAGCAACATTAGTCCCTCAACTTCAACTTTTCATCCATTAACCATCCGGAATCAATCCGAGGCCCCCGGGACCTCAACCAAACATACCAACAAGTATTAAAACATGATACGAACTTAGTTGAGACCTCAAATCACCTCAAACAACATCAAAAACACGAATCACACCCCAATTCAAGCCTGTTGAAACTAAGATATTTCAAACTTCTACAAATGACGTCGAAACCTATCACATCAAGTCCGATTGACCTCAAATTTTGTACACATGTCACAAATAACACCATAGACGTACGCCAACTTTCAGAATCAGAATCCAACCCTGATATCAATAAGTCCATTCCCGGTCACGCTTTTCAAAAATCCAACTTTTGCAATTTCAAGCCTAATTCCACTACGGACCTCCAAATCATAATCCGAACACGCTCTAAGTCTAAAATCACCCAACGGAGCTAACAGAACCATCAAGACTCCATTACTGAGTCCTTTACCTGTAAGTCAATATCTGGTCAACCTTTTTAACTTAAGCTTCCAACCTTGAGACTAAGTATCTCAATTCATTCCGAAATTTCTCCGGACCTACACCGACTACCCCAAAAAGTCATATAATAGTTATAAAGAACAAAATGAGAAGTAAATGGAGGGAACCTGGCTACAACTCTTAAAGCGACCGGCCGGGTTGTTATATCCTCCCCCTTCTAAACAAACATTCATCTTCGAATGGGTCTAGAAACATACCTGGAGTCTCAAATAGGTGTGGATATCTGCTATGCATCTCCCACTCAGTCTCCAAAGTAGCCTCCTCAAATGGATGACCTCTCCAATGCACCTTCATTGAAGTTATATCCCTCGACTTTAACTTTCGAACCTGCTGATAAAAAATGGTTACCGACTGCACACCATAAGTCAAATCACAATCTAATTGAACCATGCTGAAATCTAAAATATGAGACGGATCACCGACATACTTTTGGAGCATAGAAATTTGAAATAGTGGATGCACACTCGACAAACTAGGTGGCAAGGAAAACTGGTAAGCCACCTCTCCAATCCTCTGAAATACTTCAAACGGCCCAATATACCGAGGGCTCAACTTGCCCTTTTTTCCGAACCTTATAACACCCTTCATATGTGAAACCTTGAGCAGAACCTTCTCCTAAACCATATAAGCTACATTATGAACCTTCCGATTGGCTAACTCATCTACCTAGATGGCGCCGTGCGAAAACGATCCTGAATAAATTAAACCTTGTCCAAAGAGTCCTAAACCAAGTTAGTATCTTGGAGCCTAGCCTCACGCGGCTCAAACCAACCCACCAAAGATCTACAGTCTCCCATACAAAGCCTTATATGGAGCCATCTAAATGCTCGAGTGGTAGCTATTGTTGTAGGAAAACTCTATGAGCGGTAGAAACTGATCCCAGTAAACCCTAAAATCAATGACACGAGCACGTAGCATGCCCTCCAATATCTTAATAGTGTGTTCGGACTATCTGTTCATCTGAGGGTTAAATGTTG